GGAACCTAGGGCAGAGTTCCTAGAAATAGGCCAGGTCCAGGATTGGCAGGGTCTTTGGGTGATCAGGGATGAATGGACAATTGGTATACCTGAGGGAAGGGACTATTTCTTATTTATCATTTTATCTTCCCCACTGCCTGGCATATAATGAACATTTATCAACCAGGGCTAAATGAAAGGTCCTGCACTTGGGCTAAAAACATCAAGAAGAGAATGGGGGAATGGTGGTCTAGCAACAGTTTATGTGAAAGAGACCTGGGCATTTTAGTTGATTGCAAACTCAATATGAGTCAATAACAACATGACAGCCAAAAATATTATCTTAGGCAGCATTGTTATCATCATTATTAACAATTACACATTTATATGTTGATTTATGTTATGAAATACATTCTCTACAATAATCCTTTGAGGTGGGTAATATAGGAATTGCTAACCTCATTTTACAAATGAGGAAGCAAAGTATACAAAATAAGTGAGCTTATGGCCCTGTTGCATTAAACCGTTAGCTTCTTGAGAGACAGGACTGTCTTCCGTTTTTCTTTGTGGGCCAATGATTAGAACTGTGCCTGGCACTTAGTAGGTGCTTAAGAAATGCTTCTGGGCTTGATTTTCATTCTGCTCTGGTCAGACCACATCTGGAGAATTGAAAATGAGGGCAATCAGTATGGTGAGAAGATTGGAAAACCAGGCCACATGAGGGTTTAGCAGAAGAAAGCAGAGATGTTTAGCCAGAGAAGACTTCAAATATTTGACAGGCTATCATGTGAAAAAGGGACCGCCTGAGTGTATAACTAGAGTGATGGGTGCAAGTTGTTGAGAGGAAGATACAGGTTCTCTGTAAAGAAAAAAAAGTTTAACAATAACAGTGATTCAAAGGTATTAGTGTCCAAGATGTCATGGATGGAATTCTTGTTCAGGTAGGGTTGGATTGGGTGACCTCTGAGGTCCTTCTATAATCATGAGATTCTATGATTTGACCAAATATTTCTTGAATGAATCACTTTGGACTCCCAGACAAGAGAGGGCAGTAGGGAATTCTGCGGAGCTTGGGAGGGATTGAGTCATTGGCTGATGTTGGGGTGACCTCAGATAATCAGGACCTTTGGGTCTCCTCTTCTGGGAAATATTCTAGTCTTCAGGTTATTTAGATGTGTTCTCAAACCTGTTGGGTCAGAGGTAGCAGGATACTGGGGGCTAGAGGTCTGTACACTTCAGTTCCTATGTTTCTCAAATATTCCTTTCAATTCTCATTAATCACAGGAACAACGTGACTAGTGTAGAGTTCATTCCCATGTAACATTATGACAGAGAGGAATCAGGGCTCTGGAAGAACAACAGGGTCTTTCACAAGAAAGAACCCAATGAGATTTATAGAGCTTCTGAACGACATGGTAGACAGAGGGATGGATCTGGGGCTTGAATCCTTGCCTCTGACACTGAACTAGCTCTTGTGACGTAAATCATTTAATCTCTCCGAGCCTTAGCTTCCTCATCTGGAAAATGGGGACAATAGTATGTGTAGTAGCTACCTCACAGGGCTGTTATGAGGATAAAATAAGGTGATATATGTATTTAGCAAACGTTGAAGCACCGTAGGTCAGTTATTACCATACAGAGGAGCGCTGCCTTAAACAAAAGTATGGTGGAGACTTCCTTGGGAGAGAGACCGATGGTCTTCTATCTTCCAAAGCCAATATCCCGAAATCTGAGTGTGGAGGGCCAACTCAACAGCAATTACCCCAGGGGACAGTGACAGTGAGTATTAGTTCTTGGAGGATCAGCGTCTCAATGCTCCTCCCCCAATTTTGTCTTCATTCATCTGACGGTTACTGTGAAACACTGTTTCATCGTGGCAAGCTCACTGGCCTTGGCATCAGAAAACCTGGGTTTGACTTCTACCTCTGCCATTTACTCCCACTGTGACTTTGGGCACATCACTTAACCTCCCTAGGTCACAGTTTCTTGATCTGTAAAATGAGGTTGGAACAGATGATCTCTCAGTTTCCTTCCATCTCTAAATCTATCATCCTACAACACTATTACCATATTATCTCAATATGTATCTATTGTTCAATTGAATTTTTCTGCTATAATGTGAAGCCTTTCTCACTTTAGTATTTCTAAATGCTTTCATATCCATTATCTTTGGTGAAGAAGGGAGAAGAATAAAGTATTATTTCCATGTTAGAGATGGTAAAATAGGCCAAAATATTGATGATGTAGACTAAGGTGCAAAATGAGATATATACTGTCAAATGTGGTCAATGTATTAGTTTGGTTTTTTTTTTTAATCTTAATTGTATTTTAATTTTTAGGCAATTGGGGTTAAGTGACTTGCCCAGGGTCACACAGCTAGTAAATGTTAAGTGTTTGGTCTGAGGCCAGATTTGAACTCAGGTCTTCCTGACTTCAAGGCTGGTGCTCTATCCACTGAGCCAACTAGCTGCCCCTTAATTGTATTTCTTTGTTACAAGAGAGGATTCTTATTGGGAGGGGAGGTTATTGGGAAGTGAAAGACATTTTAAAAAAAGAAATCATTTAAAAATCTCTGAAAAACAAAACATAGTCCCCAAAGAAGTGAGTTCCCGATTGTCAAAAGTGAATTAGGTGGAGACTGAAACCCAGGAGTATCAGTTCCAAGGTCAGTCATTCACCTTGTCTTGAGCTTCCACAGTAGGTAGATTTTCATCCTTCATGCTTTAGGGAGCTCAGAAGAAAAGAAGGGATATATAGCCCTTTATTCTTCTGGATACATACATTACATACAAAGGACAGAGATGGGAGCTACTGGACAGATCTCTAGCGGGTAATGGGTACAGCTTGGAAGAGTAGGTTAGGAGTTTCCTGGAGGAGGAGAACTTGGAACAGGGTTGAAGGGGGCAAGGACAGAGCTGGGGAAGAATTGTATCTCTGGTAGAAACATACATTTGTACAAAGCCTTGGCAGTGGCTAAGGGTCAAGTGTGGATGGGAGCAGAGGGTCCTGGAAGATGTAAGCAGCCAATAATCAGAAGAGCCTTGAAGATGGGCTTAGGCTGCCTCTTTTGTCCACATGTACCCCTCGGAGTGGGAGACATCCCCACCCAGGAAGCCTTCTCTGCCTTATTGCCAGCTCTCTTTCCAAGTACTCCTCGTTCTTCCTAGTGCGGGTCTCCATTCTCGTTTCTAGTGAGGGATTGGTGCTGTGACTTCTCTGAGGGAGGAGGAGAGATTGTGTCTTCACCAGCTACTTTATCTAGTTCTCTGCATCATATCATGATTTTGGAAATAATGGTTTTTCCATACTGAGGGTTAGGATCCCTGGGTCCCCTCCCCCTGTTTTTCTTATTTCCACATTCAGTAGGCCACATATTTGGGGGATAAGATGGCTAGATTCTTGGCCTCCCTCCCTTTCTAGATTCACTAAGCAATTACTTTCTAAACAGACCCCATACTGGTTTGGGCTCATAATTCCTCCCTGATTAACCCCTACTACCCCAGCAAGTTTATAGGCCAAGGGAGAGTGGCAGTGGGGGTTGGGGGGAGGGGACAATGAGGGGGGGAATCCCAACTGGGTGATGGATGCCTCTGTCAGCCTGGCTCGTATTTATTAATAGTTTTAATACGGGAAGCAATAAAGGAAGAGAGGGATTCTATTAATTAAATCATTGTTATAATTAACTTTCATTAAAGAGGGATCAATAAAGAGGGGCTGAGATGGAGAGAGAAGAGATCCATTATCTCTAATTTACTTGGAAGGGATTCAGGGAGGGAGGTGAGGTTGCTAGGAGACAGAGTAGTAGGGGAAAGGGGAGGATATAGTCCAGGTGAAGCTGGGAGCAGAGGAAGGGGATTTAGGAGGGTTTCAGATGAATGGGGGTGTGGGTATGGTTGTTACTGACAGGAAGGAGGATGAATTGGCCAAAAGCTGATGGAGGGTCCATTGTGGGTGTGGCTATGACTGGGAGTGGGACAATCATGTGCTCATCTGTGTGCACCAAATTCTCTATGACTGGGTGTTTTCATGGCTATATCTGAGTGTTGTTTGTACCTTATTTAGTATGTTTGTGATATTTGTGTCCCTTCCAGCAGGTGTGCTCAGTAAATGCCATCTTGAATACATCCTCTGGTTGGGGTTGATTGGTGCGTTTCTAACAGGCATCAGTATGTAGGACCAAGCACCATGCAGGAGCTGGAAAAGTGGGGGTCTAGGGCACTGAGGGAAAGATAAGAGGGAAGGGCCTGGGCCTAGGGGACAGAGTGATAAGGATGGTACATGCCTCTGTCAGGTTGAGGGACTGAGCGAGGATAGTAGAACCCTTGAGGAAGAGTGCTAGGGAATAAGAAGTAAAGATTTGACAGGTCCTTGAGTGGTCACAGGGGTGGGAAAGCCCACTTTGGCAGGGAGATTTATTACAATTTGATAATAAGGAAAATGTTAAAATGAGTGCATAGCTTAGGTCACAGTACAATAGATTTTGAACTGGAAGGGGCTTAGAGGTCATCTAGTCCAACGATCTCATTTTACAGATGAGTAAATTAAGGCCTGGAAGGTTCACTGATGCACCCAAAACCACACAGGCAGCATACTTTGAACCCAGCCCTTTTCCCATTGCACTACTCACTGTTTCCTAGCCCTAGATGCTGTGAAGGCAATGGAAGGAGCCAGAGCCTAAGTAGGACTGGGTGGGCCCTTCCAGATCACCAAGCTCTTCGCCTCCTTCTGAGATAGACCCATAGTATCTCTCCCTCCTCCCTGGTCTCTTGGAGAGAACCCAAACCCTCTGTTGAAAGCCAGGAAAGTGAACTGCAGCCCCTGGGGAAGTCAGGTCCAGTCTTGGCCTGGCTTCCTTTTCTTCTTCCCACTGGGAACTGGCAGCAGTGGGGGACACACAGCTGGAACTCACCCAGCTCCATTTTTCCAAATGACTAAATTCCTCTTCTCACCAAGATCCAGAGACCAGGGAGTGTGGGAACACCTGTTCCCAAATACCTGAACCCCTTTATCTTAGTCATAGCTTGTGGTAAGAACACATTTTATTAGAATAGTATACATGTCATATAAATATCTCTGCCCATGCTACACAACTTGAGGTGGTGGAAGGGTGGACATGTGGTGGTGACAGGGAGGGTATTAGGGAAGAATATCTTATTGCTGTCAAGGGGGATGAGGACAGGTCAGGAGATAGAAATACTCGGTTTCAGCCATTCCCCCCTCCCCCAACACAAAAGGCACAGATGAATTTTTCTTTCCATGTGGGGTAGGAGGGTACTGCCAGAAAAGGGATGAAATTGGGTACAGGAGGCCTTCTTTACCCCCCAAAGAAACCACAAAACTTAATGTCTAATTATATGGGCAAGCTAGGGAAAGGGAGTGAGGGAACAGAAACAGGTGAAGCCTAGAGCTGGAAGGCTTGTTAAAAAGTCATTAGGTTGATTTTTCTGCCTCCACACAAACCGGAGACAGAAGAAGTCAGGTAAACAAATATAAACCTCAAATGGGAATGAATGGGGAGGAGGGTGTGCTCCATGGTTTGGCTGGGGAACACTGACACAGCAGAAGCCGGGCTGTTTGGAGGGATGATCTTCGCTTTCAAGGGTGGGGGGCCTGGTGGCTCAAGTGGAAAGGAAGCAGGGTACCTTCCCTGGAGCCCCTAGTCTGTCTCTCAAACCGTTGGGCATAGTGTCTTGCTTGGTTGGGGGAGGAGCACTCCTTGTGGATTCAAGGTCAAACTCAGTGGAAATGGAGTGGTGTGAGGACTTCTTAGGGGTCTTGATGGCCTAAAATTCAGTCTGCCACAAAAGTGTGTGTGTGTGTGTGTGTGTATCACTCAAAGGTAAAAGGATCCTGGGTGCTGAAGAAGAAGTGTCCATCCACGTGTTCCTCCAAGGCATCCTTGTCACACTCAGGAAACTGTTCCTTACATATGGGACACTCCTTCCAAGGCGGGGCGGCAGGGCCCCCTGGGCTGGCCTCAGAAAGGGGGCCCCCAACAAAGCCACTATGGAGAGGTAGAGTGGTGGGGGAGGTGATTTAGTCCTGCAGGCCTACCCCTTCCTCCTCGATCCTAGGAGCAGAAATCCAGATGCCCAGGCTCCTAGTTGCTCTTGCTCTTGGCAAACGGACACAGGTGTCCAACTTCCTAGACTGCCTGCATCACTCCCTCTCTTGGTTCTTAAAGCAGACGCCCAAGGGGCAGAACCAAAGAGGCCTTGTTTTTTTCCTAGCTCTCAAAGGCGCTGGCATCTATTACCTCCCCAGTCTCTCACTGGCCTCTTCAGCCAAGCTTCCAAAGCCCATCCCCCAATACCCCCCCCCCCCGCCCCGCTCTCTTCCCTCCATCTCTGTCTGCTGCCTAATGAGGCTGAAAATGAGTATGACATCGTCCTTCATCTTCCTGCTCTAGCCAAGGAGGAGATGACAGCATTCTCCCATCTCCTTTGCCCTAAGTCTGTTCCAATGTCTGGGACAAAGCTGGGGGCCAGATGCCTGGATCTCAATCTTTTACCATTTCCTGAGTGGGAGGAGGCACTTACCACTCTGATACCTGGCTCTCCCCCTCTCCAACTCCACCCCTCGCTGAGGCCCCAAGGGAGCTGGGGAAAGCCAAAGACCCATGGATAATCAGATGCTGAATCCCAGCTTTCCCATCCCTGTGGTCCTTGATTGCTTCCCTTTATCCAGAGATTTGGGCACCTACCTGCCAGCGTGGGGGGGGGGAAGGGCAGGAGAGAGGGGGTGCAAGACAATTTGGGCTCCACGGAAGATGGTGCTAAAACAACACAGAAGCTTGTTACAAGTAGAGCCTCTGAGTGCTGATGGTACAGTCTTAAGTTGAGTGAAATTTAGAACCTAGAGACATCTGGGACTTTGGGGGTAGCAGGTAACCTTGCTGGCCACTGACCCCACCCTGAGCCCTTCCTCCGTCTTGGCTTTGATCAAGAAGATGGGTATGGGGAGGGGTGAATGACTGAGGGCTATCCCTGGCCACAGGGACTCCACTCTGACCTGGCACACACCCTTGTAGTTTCCCACCTCACCTGGCCACGTCATAAAAGGCACTGCCTAGTTCAGGAAGCAGCAGGCTGGCCTCCTCCCCTCCACTCTGCACTGCTGCCATCAGTACTGCCTTTTCATCCTCTGCCTCCTGGGCACTCAGACATAGGGTAGAGTAGGGCGGCATTTTAGAAGTTAGGGGATGGAGAAGGGAGATGAAGAAGCATGAATGGGGCCTGGGAAAAGTGAACCAGGGCCTGGATGGGAGTGGAAGGGAAGCCAGGGCATGGGACAGAAGTGGGGACTGGGACATGGGACCAAGATGAGTCTATCGGAGATGGAGGCCAGGAGCAGGGCTGTCCTGCTATGTGAAGGGTGGGTGGTCAAATGGACTTGGATAGGCTGGGTACAACTGAGTCCCTTCCCTCCCCAATCAGGGAGAACAGAGTGACCCATCAAGCTGAAAATCTGTGTCTGGAGGCTAGGACATCTGGTATAACCCTTTTAACCCTTCCTTACCCCCTTCTCCCAAAGACTGTCCTGCATGTTCTACTCACCGAGTCAGAGCTACTGTCATCGTGGGGACCTGTCATGTGAGGAGCAATAGGGGATGGCTGGCTGATGACCACATGGGCAGGGGTGTCTCGGGGTCCAGAGGGATTAGAGCCAGGGCCTCCTCGCTCACACAGCCCATAGGAAGTAAGCCTCATGTCCTCTGGGGATTCATCCTCTGAGTCTGTCAGGACTGCTGCAGGGCAGCCTGTGAGTGGGGAAGAGGAGGGACTGTCAAAGTCTTGGGGCCTTCTAAGAAGAGGAGAGGGGGAAAGGACCTGAAACCAACCCCCATCAGGGGATACATGGGAGACGGGGTCAATTCCTAAAAGGGACCCTGGGGGAGAGGGTTGGGAGCCTGCTAGGCACTGAGTGATGCTGGGGGTGGGGAAGGGAAGGCTGGAGAAAGGGGGGTCAGGGATGCACAGACTCAGCCCGGGAGTCGCCTCCTCATCCTCGGTGGCTGCATCCTCACTCCACTTCTCATCGGCCACTTTTTCCAAGCGGGCCTCCAGCTTCCTCATATATTCCAGCAGTTCCTGGGTTAGGGTACATGGTAAAGACAGAAATGGCCCCAACCCACCTGGGCCATGAGGATTCTCTGGTCCTAGGGATGAGTTCTGCCCGCATTCCTTGGGGTCAGCACCCCACAAAGGGAGCAAGGACATCTGGGGCAGGGGGAAAGAAGAGGGGCAGCTTCACCCCCTCCCAGTTTTGATCCCAGACCCTCCTGCACCTCTACCCTTAAGCTTGCTGCTAGCACTTTTTTCCTCCACTAATATCACACCAATGCTATTATATAATAGAACCATATAAATAGAATCGCGTAATAACATCTGATGTTCTAATAACATATGATGTTCTAATATTCAGGGAACTGAAAGTGACCACATCCTTTTCGAGAGGCCTCAAGTTCTTACATCATAGGGTTAGAGATTTAAGTTGAAAGGAAGCTCAGGGGCTAAGGCTTGGGAGGGCCCCAGGTCACACAGCTGGTAAGGAGCATAGCTGGGATTTGAACCCATGTCCTCTGACTCCAAAGGCTCCCCTTTCACCACTGTCCCACACAGGCCCCAGGCTGGGGCTCTGGCTGCTCAGAGGAGTTAGCAAAGCTGGAAGCTACCCGGTCTGTGCAGAAGCTGTGGCCGTGCTAGAGCCTCCTGAGCTCTTGCACAGCTCACCTGCTTCTCCTCCTGCAGCTGCTCCTTTTCCTTCTGAAACACGCGAAGGGCCGACCGAAGCTCCGTTAGCTCCCTCTTGCTTTCTGACAGCTGTACCTGAAGGAGAGGGGCCACGGAAAACATGGAATCTAGAACTTCTCTCTTAGAACCTGACCTCTGTGACCTGGAAGGAAGAAACCTTGGATTCCAAAGCCAGCCTCTCCCACTCTGCTCCCCCTCAATACTCCACCCAATCCACAATCCCTTCCCTAACCCACAAATCTCCGACTAGGGAGTAGGAGATCTGGCTCCTTTTGTTTTTAAGGATTTAGGGTCTGAGAGACTATAACTAGGCTGAGTGCAGGTTGCTTAAGTCCGGACCAGTGTTTAGTCATGATACGTTCCAAGCTACACAGTTTGTCAGCCTGGGTCACCTCAAGTCAATCAAACTGAAACTAAAGGCATCTATGCTAGTGGTAGAAAGAGGGCTTCTAAACTTCAGATCAAAGTAGACAAGGCTGCTCATAAACAAGATGCAAAACAAAATGCACCTGAGCATTATCCTCAGCAAGTCAACTACCCTCACTGGGCCTCAGTTTCTTAGTCTGTGAAATGGGGGAGTTGAACTCCACAGCCTCTGCAATCCCTTCCAGCCCTAGATCTATGATCCTCCGACCTCTGGCTTCCGAGCTGACATTCTAGGCATTTAGGGAGAAGGCACAGTGGACTCTAGGGGCTTTTGGGCAGAGGCATCTCTGGTGGAGGCTGAGATCTTACCAGACTGGAATCCTTCTCTCGGGCCAGGTCAGCTTTGAGGCCTTGTCTCTGGGTCCTCTCCTCCTGCACGGCCTTCTCCAGTCTCAGAACCTCTGCACTCAGCTTCAGGATCTTATCCTTCTCTGCCTGGGCATGGGCAGAAAAGAAAAGGGCAGGAAGGAGAATGTCACTGATAAGAGCCCCACCCTTGCACCGCCTCCCTGCCCTTCGGATTCACTGGTCTTACTTCTCTGGATCCCCTTTGCTGCCTCCCTCACTCAACTCTCATGGTCCCAGAGTCTGTGAAGAACAGGGGAAAATGGAAAGAAGGCCCCGGAAGGTCAAGTGAAGGGCAGGATGGGAAGAGGGCATGCGGGATAGGAATGGGGCGGGAGGAGGCGGCACTGTATGGGTCAGGAGTAGACATAACAGAGAAGTGTGGTTCAGACTCATTCCCCACCAAACCCCAAACCGACTGAATTGCCAAGGGCCAACCACCTCCTTTTTTTAACCCATGACAGGGGTGGAGGCTAAAGCTCTCGCTGCGAAACACCTGACACGGCCCTTACATTTCTTGCCTCCCTGTGGCCTCCCCAACCCCGTCTTCCCACCCCTATCTCTGCACCTCTACATTTTGCAGAAGCCCCGCGCGTTCCTTGCTCCATGAGCTCTTGTCTTCTCTCCACTGCAGGCTCAGCTCCACCAGCCTGTTGTTGGCCTCGGCTACCTCCAGCCGGCTCCTGTGGAGGTCAGCCATGGTTCGGTCTCTGGCACTTGCTGTGCTGGCCAGCTCCTCCCCAAGCAGGGAGGCCTTTTGCTGGCTCGAGACTGCGAGCTCCTGGGTCCCCCGAAGCTGCTCTTTCAGGGGCTCCAGTTCAGCCTCCAGGAGAGAACACAGGCATGAAGTCAGTTACACCTGAGCTAATATGGGGACCCCAAGACTTTAACCTTGAAGTTTCCTATCTTCCATTAGATTCTACACTCTTCCTCCACTCAGGACCCAGGTGCCTTATCCTCCAAACCACAGCAGCTAATCCCTTCCTTTCCCTTTCCATTCTTGGGGTCTCTCAGGTTTCCTCTACACTAGGGGTATCAAACTTTAATGGATCCCTGAGGGCTGCATATTGCCTTAGAAAGCCTCAAATGAACACTATATTGTATTATATTTTTATTTATCTTATTAAACATTTCCCAGTTGCACTTTAAGCTGGTTCAGGGAGCATTTGGAGCTGCCTACCCTGAGCATAATCCGTCTGTCCTACACTGTAGGCCTAGCTATTCTTCTGGCTTCTCCTGCCCAGAATTCAGGTGTCCAGGCCCTTACTCACAATCCGCTGCTGGGCCTCATCCAGCAGATTCTGGATTCGGGTGACCTCCGCCTGCAGTCTCTGGAGCTGAGAGGCCTGCTCCCCCTGATGGCTTTTGGCCTTCTGTAGGTCTGCACTCAGGCGACAGCACTCCAGTTGTGAGACCTGCAGCTCGGCCTGGTGGGAATCACAGGATCACAGATTCAGAGCTGGGCCTAAGAGTGTCTCAAGTCCAACCCTCTCATTTTATAGGTGAGAAAAGGAAGGCTGGGGGACGGTAAGAAATTTGCCCGGCTAGTACGTGTCTGAGGCAGGATTTGAACTCAAATCTTCCTGACTCCAAGCTCAGTACTCTATCTACTACTCTACTTATAGTTGGGGGGGAACGTCTATAACGTCTCTGGACCATACAGCACAGTCTGCTTTACGGGCCGATAAGGCAAATCAGAACAAGTCAGTTTCCCAGCCTCAAAGGGATCCAGCATCGGAGCCCAAGGGGAGCCTGAGCCTGGGCATCTATGCCCCACTGTACTCAGCTCTCCTGCTATCCAGCCCAGAGTTTCCAGCAGTACATGGGCATGGTGAGATTTAAGACAACTGCAATTTCAGACCTGCTGCCTTTTGCGCTCTCCTTCACCATGAAGGCCTGGCACTGCCCCTTTCCTGTTTGGCCCCTCACCTGGCTCTGCTCCTTGTCTGCTTGTTCTTCCTTCAGCTGCCCCAGAAGCTGCTCCTGCTCCTGAGTCAACGCCTTCACTGTGTCCTTGACCCTGTGGACCAAGGACAAAATGGGCAGAATTTAGGATTTTGAAGCTGTCAAGTCCAATTCTTTTATTTTATAGATGAGAAACTGAGAGTGAGAGAGGTTAAATTAATTGTCCAGGGTCACATAGCACCCACCAACCGTGGGTGTCCCCCAAAGCTCTCTTCTCATTTCCTCATAGACGATTTTGCTCATCAGCTCTCATGGATTAAATTATAATCTCTACGCAGATGATTCTCAGATCTGTCTGTCCAGTTTAAGCTCTCTCCTGATCTCCAGTCTTGGATCTCCAACTGCCTAACGGACATCTCAAACTGGGTATCTCATAGACATTTTAAACTCAACATGTACATCATTAAATTAACTTTTCCCAAAACTCTTCCCTTTCTCTAACTTCCCTATCATTGTCAAAGGCACCACCATCATTCTGATCACAATCTAGTGTCATCTTCAACTTCTCACTCTCTGTCACTTCCCCCACCCCAATCCAATCAGTTGCCAAGTCCTGTTGCTTCTACCTTTGTGACATATGTCACATATGTCCCCTTCTCTCCTCTCCACCACCCTGGTGCAGGCCCTTATTACCTCATACTTGGACTACTGCAATGGCTGCTGGTGTGTCTCCCAGCATCAATTCTTCCCCACTCCAGTCCACTCTCCACTCAGCTTCCATTTTCCCAAACGCAACTGACTACGTAACTGACCATGACACCCTCCCCCTCATTCCATAAACTCTAGTGGCTTCCAATCACTCCCAGGATCAAATATAAAATCCTCTGTTGAGTGTTAAAAGACCTTCATAACCTCCTACCTTTCCATTCTTCTTCCACACGACTCGCCTTCCTCCCCCACATCCCCAGGACTCAGTTATCCAGTAACACCGGCCTCCTAGCTGTTCTTTGCACAAGACACTCCATTTCCCAACTCCAGGCATTTTCCCTGGCTGCTCTCCATGCCTGGAATGCTCTCACTTCATCTCTACCTTCTGGCTTTCCTGGCTTCTTTCAAGTCTCACCTAAAATCCCACCTTCTACAAGAAGTATTTCCTTAATGCTAATTCTTTCCTTCTGTTCATTATCTCACATTTATCTCACATATAGCTTGTTTGTACAGAGCTGTCTGCATGGCGTCTCCCTCATTAGAATGGGAGCTCCTCGAGAGAAGGGACTGTTTTTTTTTTTTGCCTTTCTTTGTAACCTAGTACTTAGCACAGTGTCTGGCAATAGCAGGTGGTTTATAAATGCTTGTTGATGGGCAGCTTAGACGGGGTAGTGGATAGAGCACCAGCCCTGGAGTCAGGAGGACTTGAGTTCAAATCTGTCCTCAGATATTAACTAGCTGTGTGACCCTGGGCAAGTCACTTAAACCCAGATGCCTCCCCCCAAACAAACAAACAAACAAATCAATGTTTATTGACTTGCCTTGACAGCTAGTAAGACAAAGTTGGAACTCATGACTTCCTGACTCCAAGTCTAGCTGGTTACCTGGGAGGCAAGCTCCATGGTTTGTGCCCATATCCTGCCATTGACTTTTCCTCCTTTGACTCAGCCCTTACCAGTCTTTCTTACCTGTTCCTGTATGGTTCAGACATAAAAACAAGATGATGTTGTTCTAAACCCTTTCTGGCTCTAGGCTGGTTCCATCCTGGGAACTCACATCAGCTCTAATTAACTGCTTTCCCTAGCTGGAGTCTCAGGTCCCAGTCCCCTCACCTCCTCTTGGCTCTTCCAGGCCTGAACATTTGAACCCTTCTGATGGGCAAAGATTTATAGGTGCCATAGACCCAAAGAGACATCAGAGGTCTACTTATTTATCCCTCTGCTTCTAGGTAGAAGCAAAAGGCTCAAAAGAGCAACCGCCCAGGTACAAGATGAGTATGACCTGATTTAGTATCAGGTCATGGGAAAAAGACCTAATTTTACTGCAAGGTTAATCAGAATACAAAATGTGGCATGGCTGCCAAAAAGTTAATGTAATTGTTGGCTGCATTAACAAAAATACAGCATTCAGATGGAGAGATAACAGTATCATTGTCCTGTGGAGAGGCAGACTAAATTTAGAGGACTGTGGTTAATTCTTTGGGGGCCATATTTTAACAGGGACATTGATAGCCTAAGGTAGGGAGATTTTAGAGGGGTTTGAATTTGGACAGGGGAAAATGACATCTTTATTTTCACTGTTTTCTAACTAGTATTTAGCATTTGTTTCATTTTTGAAAGTAGGCAACAAACATGATTCTGAGGAGGGCCCCATCAGCTTCACCAGACCATGGCCAAAGGGTTCCAGGACGAAAATAAAGGTTAAGAACCCCTGTGCTAGGAGGATGACTGAGGGTCAGAAATTATATGAGAAAAATTAAAGGAACTGAAAATATTTAGCCTAGAAAACAGAAGACCTGTCTTTAAATATCTGAAAGGTTGTGATGTGGAAGAGTTAAGGCTTATCCCATTACAGTTCTGTAGGAGATAACTAGGACCCATCGGTAGAAATTGAAGGGAAGAAATTTGACAATGAAAAGAGTGTGTGTGTGTGTGTGTGTGTGTGTATATGTGTGTGTATATGTGTGTGTGTCTAATGGTAGCCATCTGAGGGGGTGGGGGGAAGAAAAAAAAGAAATTTACATGATTTAATTGTTATTTGTCCTTCTTGAAGAGGACCATGACATCAGGAAGGAGATGTTATGACTTGCAAGTGAATTGGATTTAAGTGAGGGAGGGCTGTGCAAAGTCACCAATGTCACTTTCTCCTTCAGAGCCATCTGGGTCCAGTGGCAAGATATAGATCAGGCCGACTGGAGATGTTCCTGGATGCTGTGGGAGACCTTGGCCTTTTTAAGCAAAGGTCTTTCCCAGGTCTCAGTTTACCTGAGACAATGCCCACTCAGCGATTAAGGCTAGGTTAAAAAAGAAGGCAAAGAATGGTCTCTTTTCCCTAGTAAAAAAAAAAAATCAACTTGGGAGGTGAAGACCCTCAGATCTATCTGGCCAAAACAGAAACAATTTCTATTTACACTCACTCTGAGCTATCAGAATCCAAACAATGACCAAGTGAGGCTTGAGCTGCGACCTACCGTGGGCCAATCAATGTGAGCCAGAGTGTTTGTGTTTAGACATGGTCCATAAAAAAGAAATCTAGCCCATAAAGCCCAAGATATCTTGCTAGGTTTCAGCAATCAAAATTTGCATTTCTTTGGGCAGAGCACTTTCAGGTAAGGGTATGATTCCCTATGTGGACAGAAGGAGAGGAGGGATGAATTTGTTGTACATTTGAAAGGAACAGCAAATTGTGCATAGTAGAGTTGCAGTTTCATGCGTAATCATCTTTTTTATTGTACCATGTTAATAGAAATGCTTGTTATATTCCATAAATTTAAAATTAAAAATTTTAAAAGGTATTCAGAAATAGAATGCATTACCTTAGGTAAGGTAGTGAGCTCCCTGTTGTTAGAAGCGTTCATGCAAAAGTTGGTTGACTACCTGTCAGAGATTTTACAGAAGGGATATCTGTCCTGAAGGGGACGCTGGGCTGGATGATCCCTAAGGTTCTTTTCTAATGCTAAGATTCATTCTATGACTTTAAATCTCCAGGGCTAAGAGAAGCTACAAGCTCTCAGTGACCTAGTTCTAACAGCGTGTAATCCTGGCTGTCCGTAAATCCTGAGAGTCTAACCTTATTCCTGCTTGTTGACATTATGCCAACAGATGCATTCTTATGCCACCCTCGAGTGGCTTTTACTGACCAGGCTCACGAACCTTCCCCTGCGATGGCATCTCCCCACTGACTCCTGGGTCTTAGCTAGCGGATCGGGGTGGAGCAGGGTAAAGGGGCCTCCTTACCTGTCCAGCTCCACCTCCTTCTCCAGCACCTTCTCACTGATGCTATGGATGTCATCCTCCAGTTCCAGGATCCGGGCCACATGGTCTCCCTGTTGTCTGCTCAGGACATCCCGCTCTTCTTTAAGCTCCCCATGGGCACGTGATAGCCCCTGAGGTTATCCCAGAAGAAAAGGAAGGCTGAGACTCCCCTCATTGAGAGGGAAACGGAGGCAAAGGGGGAGTAGGAAGGGAGCTCAAAAACTTCGGAGGCTTCCTCCCTCTCCCTTCCGTTCCCACATCCACACAGGAACTTAGATTAAGAGCCAGAAGGAATGCCCCAGAGGCCATACAGCCCAACCCCCTAATTTTACAGATGAGGATACTGAGGCACAGAGAAGCTGAGTGACTTGTCCAAAGTCACTCAGGCAGAAGTAGCAGAGCCGGGATTCCAAAGCCACTGCGTTGTCCCACTGTGCCATGAGGCGTCCTCCTTGAAGGGAACTCGGAGGAGTCATCTCAGACACCCCCTCACCTCTGTGTTGGACCTCCCCTACCCCATAATGATAATCCATAACTCCCGTTTACAGAGCACTTAATGGTATAGTTACAAAGCGCTTCTCCTCAACACTACTACACAAGGGATAAAATGAATACCCCCATTTCACAGATGAGGACACTTAGGCAGAGTATGTTGAAGTGACTCATCTAATGTCACACTAATGAATGCCAAGATGGTAAATGTTCAGAGCCAGGATTGGAACTTGAGACTCCTGAATTTAAGACCAGGGATCATTTCACCATATTATGCTGTGAACCATCCCAGACTCTACCACATTTAAAGAGTCCTTTACAAGAGGACATTGCTGGATCGGGAAGTTCTTCTTGCAACCAACGTTGATCCTGAATTGTACCAGCCCCACTCCTTTGAGGACAGAGCTATCCTGACTCCCCAACCCCCGCCAACACCCCTCTTCCTCTACAAGCATTCAGATTCTGGAAGCCTCATGGGCTTGCAGGTAAATACTCCTACCCACCTTGTACTGCTCCATCAGCTTGGCCTGCTCCTCCTTGGTGACCTGCAGCGTGGTCTCCAGCTCATGCACCCTGCTCTTCAATTCTGTCACCTCCCCCTCCAACTGCAACTTCAGTCTCATCAGGTCATTCCGTTCCTGCTGGCTTTCTTCTAGCTGGTTCTAGAGATGCCCATGTAATGTCAGTCACCATTCCCCCTCCCCCATTACCCTCATGCTAACTTCCTGATTCCCTCCAAACCCCACCCAGAATGGGTTGTGGTTCTAGGCTGGGAAGCCCACTCATTATGAATAATAAAAAGGATGGGCAAGAGGGGAACAGGCTTGGAAAAATGTCGATGCACTTGACCCTACCTCCATCCCCTGCTCATTAGGCACAGCCCTCCCAGTTTTTCATTCCACTTCCACCTTCTTCTGGCCCTATTCATTTGTAACTTATCATAACTACTCCATCCCTGGCCTGACCAATGCCTGAATCCTCCTTCTTCTGGCAAACCTTCCATGATTCATCTGAACAGAAGACATGGCTTTCCCCAGTGTTTCCAAATCTGAGAATAAGTCTCCTTTGCTTTAACCATTCCTAATTTTTTTGGGGGGACTAGGCAATGGGGTTAAGTGACTTGCCCATGGTCACACAGCTAGTAAGCATTATGTGTCTGAGGCCCGATTTGAACTCAGGTCCTCCTGAATCCAGAGCTGGTGCTCTACCCACTGTACCACCTTAGCTACCCCATTCCTGATTTTTATAAGTTGAGCTCTGACTTATACCGAATATACTAATTGTCCATTCTTAATATTTCTATTTTTTTTCAAAACTGTTTTTCATAACTTTCTATCTTGGCCTTGGGCTTTTCTAAGGGGCTGTACCTAAGGGCTGTATCTATCACCATCATCTGGATAATACTCCCACTTGCTAGAAATCTTTTTTTTTTAAGGCTGCTCTTTATCTCCTATTTTCTAGGAAGACTTCCCAAATGAAGCATTTCCCCTATCACTTCCACTTGCCTCCAGCCCAAGCTCTTGGCTATGCTTATCCAATCTCTACTTATCTACTCAACAGTTGAAAGGTAGAGCTCTGTCCATCTGGTCTTTGTTCTGAACTAGTCTGTTCCCTGGGATCCTATCTGTTCCTAGTCTCTTCCCCCATGTCCAGACCCTATATCTCATCTTTTCTATAGAAAGTTCCTTGAGGCCAGGAGCCGGGTGTAATTCACAACATATAGAACAAAGACTTGAGAATAAAGATGGAGGCGGCCCCCAGCACCATTTCTCTCATTTACCTGCAGCACTGTTGCCTTGGGGACAACAAGCAGGATATCAGAATCACTTTCGGGTTCCTCTAGCATCACCAGTTCATCCATGGGCCTTGGTTCCCGAAACTGGAATGAGGAGCTCTGGCCACACACTCGGCCTTGGTGGTTTACATAGCGGAACTGGTAGAACTGGGCACCTGGCTTGGGCAGGTAGCTGGCTATGGGAAGAATTGGGCACCCAAGAATCCTTAGGAGCAAGACCTAGACCCTGCCCCACACCGAATTTTTACCTCTGAACTTTTCCAATACCCTCTCTCTACTAATCCCTCCTCATCTCCCAGGATGCCCCAGCTCTGGTTCTCTGTCCCATTCTCTCCCTACCTCAGAGCTTCTCACAGGCTGCTCCTCTTAACCCTCCTCCTTCTCAACCCTATTCCACAGGATCCTATTCCAGAAAGCTTTATCAGACTAATTCTCCCAGTTCTAAAAGAGAAATCCTGATTAGTGTGGGCAATTGGACTAATGTCTGGTACCTCCAGTCCCCATCAACCTCAAGTGCCTATGAAATCCCCTTGGCTTTCTACACTCCCTGAATACAGCTATGTGTAATTTCCATTATACTCATTTGCACTTATTTCCTCTCTGTGTCTCTTAGTCTCTCTCTAGCCTAGCTTTCCTATAACTGTCCCCTTGCTCCTCCTCCCAGGCCTCTGGTCTTCCCACATACCTTGGAACTGGACACTGGAGTGAACAGCAGAGCCCTCAGCTGCACCTTCAGGTACCACGCACCAGACAAAGGTGTGATAATCTCGGACTGAGGAGGCCTCTTTCTGTAAGTGCCCAAAATTGGAATGGGACTTTTAGGCCATAATCATTCCTGACTTTTGTACATCATGAGCTCTGACTTACCTTCTGCTGAGGGTACTAGGGAGTACTCTAGGGCTGGAGGTGTAGGGACTGGGGGTATTGGGGGGGAATAGTTCTAGGGGCCCTGGGGGAACTTAAGGGCAATTGGGAAAGGGAGAAGTTTCAGCTCATTCCCAGTACTGGAGTGGGGCAAGAAAGCCAGGCATCCGCTGTCACCTCCATCTCTTCCTCCTCCCACCTGTCCATTTAAGCAACCTATGTTCCTCTACCCTCTATCCTAAAACAGTCATGCTTCCCTGACAGGTACCTTGAAGATGCCAATCCAGTCGCTGGCATTGGCCACAGTGCCTGGGGGTAGGGTGTAGTGACATTCCACCTTGGTGTTGGGGATATAGGTCCTGGCCACATTCAGAAAAGTGACCCCACCCCGGGATGGGGTTCGGCTGAGCAATGACTCCTCCATGATGCCTTCTTAGATATCTCAGTCCTGCCAGGGAGTGAGGAGTTAATTCAATTCAATGAGCACTTGTTAAACTCCTGCTATTGCATCAGGCATTGTGCTAGTTTCTGAGAACAGAAAACAAAAATGTTAATAGTCCCTTTCCTCAAGGAACTTACAGTCTACTGGGCAAAAGCAACCTGTATACAGTCAAGTGAATACAAAATATGACTAAAGTTTTTCTGGGGAGGGGAACTGATAATGATTGGGGGAGAACAGGAAAGGCCCCAAGTAGAAAGTAGCACTGAAACTGAGCTTTGAATGAAGCCAAGGATGCCAAAAGGGAAAGGTGAGGAAGAAGAACATTGCAGGCAGAGGGGACAGACAGCCTGTGTAAAGGCCAGAATGTCACATCTAGGGAACACTGAGAAGAGGTCTTCGGTCAGAGGTACATTGGGGGAAGTAATGGCCTAGATCTAGAAAGAGAGTTTGAAACCAGATGGTTTCAAAAATGCATTTTATGTTAGCAGTGATGGGGAACCACTAAAGCTTCTTGAGCACAGGAGTGATGAGTGAGGTCTGAACTGTGCTTTAGGAACATGGATCTGGCAGTTTGTGTGGAGAAAGGACTAGACTTAAAGGAAACTGTTACCAGGGAGACCAATTAGAAGGATTTTGCAATAATTGAGGCCAGAGGTAATGAGGACCTGGTGTAGGTGGTGGCTGAAGAAATACCCAGAAGGGGACACATGCAAGAAGTCCTGTTGAGGTAGGACTGACAAGACTCGGCAATGAATGGCATGGGGGTGTGAGGAAGAGAGAAAAGGATGATTCCAAGACTTTGAACGGAGGTACTGGAAAGACAGTGGTGACCTTGACAGAAACAAAGAAGTCATGATGATGAGTGGTTGGGGGTGTGGGGTGGGAAGAAGATGAATTCTGGCTTGGACATGTTGTCTTTGAGATGCCTATGAGCCACCAGGTAGAAATGTCCAGTAGGCAGGTGATAATGAGGGGTTCAATGCTTCAAAGCTAACCTCTTCCCCAATCTGTTTCCTCATACACAACTATAATAACCACCAGACCTGGGGACCAAGGAATCTTGATTACCATGGCCCTCAAATCTCAATTACCATGGCTCTAAGAGCATAGAACACAGATATTTTCATTCTTGGTTCTTAGAACCAAGGCATTGAGCCTTTCAATCTGCCCCTTTCAGTCTTAGGCTCACAGGTACTTTCCATAATTTAAATCCTTGCCCTACAGAAGCTCAGTGCCCCTAACTCCAACCAACCCTGACCTTCAGCTCCAGGTTCTAATTCTATCCCCTCACTCTTATTTTCTTTAACTTACACCCCATTTCTACCTCTCCAGTTCCTCCCCTGACTTCAGGCCCTTAATTGCCAAGGCTTTTGAATATGGAATTAAATTACAGAAAGGGATATTCTACTTCCTCACCGCCCTCCTCCCCGGAAGTCAAAGTGACCCCTTCACTCACTTCCTGGGGCTGTTGACACAGCTGCAATTTTAATACTCTTAAGGACAACTGATAACAAGAATTAACCAATGGACAAGAATGACTGAGTCTCCAGGACTAGAATCTGGTTGGAGTGTCCAAACTGAAATCCTTATGCCCCTGAGACAGTGGTCCCCCTTTCCCTCTCTATTGAGTGTCCTAATCCTTATAAATTCTTGGGAACCCAACTATCCCCACTCCCATTTGAGGCATAAGACAGAGAAAAGGTAGAAAGGGATTGGCTCTATGCTGGGACTCCCTAAATATTACCCCGTGAAGTCAGGAATCCTGGAGGCGGCTGCTTCAGGGTGGAGTGAAACATCAGATAGGAACGTGGTGGGATGGGGGAGATGGAATGTGGGGGCCAGAAGCCAGGAAAACCCCACCCCTGGGCACAGATGAGACTGGGGTGGTGGTGGGAAGGTAAAGATTCATTTCCAGTATTAGGCGATGGAACAAAACTGACATCTCCTGCTTCCTGGACCTTTGACCTACCATCCCACTGGGATGCTTGACCTCCTGATATCTTAAACCAGAATAAACCAAATTCAGCTCCAGAATACACTAATCCCTTCCACCCCAGTCTCTGCAGTTTTCAATCTTAAATATTTAAGCAACTCCTTTGAGACTGATAGCTGCAGAGTAGGGTATGAAAGCAGGGGTGTTCTGGTTTGCCCTGGGGCAGAAGGGTGGGTAAGAGAAGATGGGATGTGAGGATTAGAAAAGAGAAACTATTACCCAGAACTGAGAGTCCTTCCCTTTTCTGCCTGCTCCCTCCCACCTACGTCTGAAACGCAGCTCACAGGATGTCCAATCAGGAAACGCCACTAGTCATGTGCAGGCCCCAAAACATCACAGACCCATACTGTCTGGTGCCAGGAGGGGGAAGACGGGGCAGAGACTTTTAAAGTTAAAAAAAAAGTTAAAAAAAAAAATAAACCCAGGAGGAAGAAGGCAGCTGGGAGTATAACTGCCATTGGGAAAGAGTTTAAAATTTCTTTGAAAATCAGGCAGGAAATTAAATGCAATGTAACCCCTCTAACTCTTTAATTTATCTTGGGCTCAAAGACCCTCAAGTTAAGTCCTGCTGATTCTCTGCATTAGCTTCAATCAGGCCAATTTTTTCTACTCTCTGAAAGGGTGGGGGTAAAGGTGTAGGGAGTGGAGTTTATTCCCAAGAATCTAAATTGGGGAAGTCTAGATAACTCTCTAGCCCCCACAAAACTACATTAAATCTGGATTCTTCCTCCAGGGCTGGGAAAAAAATTAGAAAACTATGCATTGCACCATCATAAAAAGGGTGTGTGTGTGCGTCAGATCAGATTTAGGGGCATCCATATGGGGAGGGTCCAGAGACCCTCACTCTTGTCGCATGACTCCAGAGCTCCCCCGTGCCCTGCCCATAGAGGGCAAGGAAGGCCTTGGAACTGATTTTGAGGGAGATGGCTGCTTTGAGAGGGGATGATCAAAAAGGGGGCTCGCCCTCATTTCAGCACCCTCAATTCCTCCCTCCCAAGCCTACCCAGCCCTTCATGGTGAGTTACCCAAAGGCAAGAGGGGAGGACAAGCAGGGAACTCCCTTCAAGTCCAGGGAACCCCTCAAACCCACGCGCCCCAAACGCGGGGAGATCTGGGGGGGCCCTTTCCACTAAAGGGTTAACCCTTTTAACAGTCTCTGTTTCCCTAGAGTTCCTTTTCAAAGATGAAAAGTCGGGGTGACACTCCATAAATCTCCCTTCCCCCCAAAACAAAAATTAGGAACAATTCTCTTACCCCAGCAGAAGATCAGCTGTTCCCCTCACCTTTCACCAACAACAAAAACACCACTCTGCCTGAGAGAGGGGCGGGGGAGAGGGTTGGGAGCACGTCCTTTCGGGACTTGTAGTTCTTTCTCCTTTTCCGAGCTTCAACGTTTGCTAAGCCTTAGAACTACCAATCCCAGGAAGCTGTGCGAAGCGGAGGGTGGAGAGGAGTGTTGTGGTGGCTGGGGCGTCTTGGGATCTGTAGTCCATCCTTCCGCAGTGGCCAATGAGGGCTCTTCCCCAGCAAGACTACAACTCCCAAAATTCCACGAGCGCAGGCGTCCTAAGCTAAATGGGTTGAGCTATTTGCAACAATTTTTTTTTTGAGTGGGGGTGGGGTTGACTGTGGGCCTCAAACTTGGTGAAGTGGGGAGGAGGCAGTGGAACCACGTGCTTTTGACAGACTAGGAAACTGGCAGCAGCGATAGCCTTGACCCAGTGGAGCAGTCCACTCCCAGGCCTTACGCTTTCCACTGGGCTTCCTCTTCCTCCTCCAGTGTTTGCAAAAATTCCCCTCCCAGTTTGTCTGCCACCTCCTGCCTCACGCACTTCAGGCACAGGATGGGGGCGGGGCATTCGAAGAAATTCTGTCTTAATAAGGCAGCCCAGGCAGGGCTAATGCGCATGCTCTGTTTGTGCTTTGCAAGCATGCAAAGCTCTTGGCCTGAAAGGGTCCGAGTGGAAGCTCTGTATGCGAATGAGGTCCTTCCTTGTATACCCTTTGCTTAGTTGGGCAGGTGCCTGGCACATAGTAGGTTTCCTTCTCTTCTCTTTCTTTTCTCTTCTCAGGTTTCCTTCCAGACTGAGCTTAAATCCTGTCTTCTGCAGGAGGCTTTCCCAGCGTCCTCCTATTTTCCCCAACCACCATTTCCCTCTGAATTTACCTTCCAATGTTTTGTTTACACCGAATAGACTTAGTTGTTTTTGTTGTCTCCACCATTAGAATGTGAGCACCTTGGAGGTTTGGACTTTGTTTTTGCATTTTTTTTTTTTTTTGCTATCTACAGAGCTTAGTCAATCAATGAGCATTTATTTACCACCTACTGTGTTCCAGGAACTATGCTAAATCCTGAGGATACAAAGGCAGAAAACAGTCCCTGGTCTCATGTGTCAGTCAGTGAATAGGCGTTTATTGAGCACCTATTATGAGCCAGGCATTGTGCTAGGCACTGGAGAGTCAAAGGAAGGCAGAAAAACCAGTCCCAGGAGTCATCAGGGAACTCAGAATAATTGGAGGTGGGGGAGAAAATGTGGCAACAACCATATGAAAATAAGATATACATGCTGGCTGAAAAACTCATGCTGCAGCCTGGCCCTCACCCTTGCTTTCTCTGGGTTCCAGACTCACTTGGTCTTTCTCTACAGTGCTCTTAAAACATTTTTACCCTAGAAACTCACTTCATCCCTAGACTTCACATATTCCAAGTCCCTCCACCTCTGAGGCCTTTTGGTCTGATTGGAGGAGAGTGGGGGTTTCCTCCTAGAACCCCATTTTAAGGAAGAAGCTCAGGCCATCCATATCTTTCTCCAGGCTATACTCCCAGCTCTCTCCTTGACTGTCTCTACCATGTTCCCTTTCCAGTGCCTTTTAAATGCTGCCTTTCCCCCATTAGAACATAAGTGACTTGAGACCAGGGACTGTATCTCTGCTCATTCCCAGTATTCTCAGTGTTTTGCACAGTGCCTGGTATGTAGTAATTGCTTGATAAGCACTTCTTGGGGTTGACTATGTACGGGATAAATTGTGAGTAATTTCAGAAGAAAGGCACTAAGATTAAGGATGACCAAGAAGGCTTCTAGCAGAATGTGGGACTTTAGTTGACACTTGAAGGAAGCCAGGAAAATCAGGAGATAGAGTTGAGGATCTGGAGCATTACAGGCATGGGAGATAGCCAGGGAAAATTCCCAGAGTTGGAAGATGGAGTGAGGCTGACAGCTTTGCTCAACTCTGCCTTACTTAAATCCAGTTCACACGTGTCAAGATGTCACCCTGCGATGTTATTGGTCCTCTTTGAAAACAAAGGACAAATGAGTCATGTGTGAGGAATAGCAAGGAGGCCAGTGTCATTGAAAGACTGGGAAAGTAGGAAGGGGCTTGATTATGAAAGACTTTGAACAACAGTCATGGGATTTCATGTGCAAAGAGCTTTTGGAGCATACTGTCAACCTACAGGGTTTAGTCTAAGGAAGACAAACAGGATTAGGTTGTATCCATGTTTGTTTCTCTTACTAGATTGCCTAACATGAAGGTACCCTGAGGGGGCTTCCCTGGGCATGCCCAGATCTCCTAACATAGAGCCACCCTGCTCCTGGGAGGAATTCCCCTCCCATCTTACCATGCAGATGGCAGTAACCTCCTTTGATCATCTGTGTAAGGGGAGTAGACTTCATCTTTAAAACTGCCCAGATTGGCACAGTGGATAGAACACTGGCCTTGGAGTCAGGAGTGTAACAAAGATTTTAAGGGCTTAAGCTTCCACAGCAGGATAAGAAATTCCAAGATCTTGTGGCTAGTCACTCAACCAATCAGAAAGTACTCTAAACTTTTCTATAAACGACTAGTTCCTTAAGAAAGAGCCCTAAAGGCTCAGGTTCAAGGATGGGGCTTCAACCCCCCAAGCAAAGGCTTTTCTCCACTTCGCTTGTTTAATAAACTTATTGAATGTGAACTGACACACCCCAACGGCGGAGATAGCTGCCATTTTTGAATGTGGGACCCATGAAATGGGTAGAGTTAACAAAACATGGATGGACATGAGATGGGCTGTCCAGGAACGGTGTAACTCAGATGAACTAGACCAATAGGAGCCTGCTTAGGTGGAGTATGGATCTTACCGAATAAACCAGTGCTCACGTGCTACGAAAGTGCTCAATAAAGGCTTTCCTTCACTCACTCACTGTAGTAGATTTTTGTTTCAGATTTTTCTAACAAGGAGGACCTGAGTTCAAATCCTGTCTCTGACCAGACACTTGACACTTACTAGCTGTGTGACCCTGGGCAAGTCAGTTAACCCCAATTGCCTCAAAAAAAAAGCTTATTTTGTAAAATATATATATATTTTTAAAAAGCTTATATCAGATTGTGTGCCATCTTGGGGAGGGAGGGGGGAGAGAAGGGTAGAAAAATTAAAAACTCAAAAGCTTATTGAAGTGATTGTTGATAAATCAAAATAAATTAATAAAAAATTTAAAACTGACTGGATTAGGACAGCTGCTTTTTTTTTTTCCTGCTGTGTCCAGAGGGTGAAGACTGAAGTTCACCCACAGCATAAATGCTATGAGCTGAACCTGTGCTAACATGTATTTGATCCTGGAAGTGATGGGGAGCCTCTTTTTTTTTTTTTTAAACTGAATGGAAGGGGGCAGGAGTATAATCATCAGACCTGTGCTTTAAGAAGATCACTTTGACAGCTGAGAAGAGGATACTAGACTGGGGAGACAAAACAGAGAGACCAACCAGAAGGCTGCTGCGATAGCATGAAGCAACAGAGATGATGATGACAGTGTCAGAGGACAGAAGGAGAGAAGGGCTTGCCTATTCACTGATTGACTGAAGAGACCAGGGACTGTTTCCTGCCTTTCTTTGTATCTCCATAACAAGAGATGTTATGAAGGTAGAAATGATAAGACTTAACAATTGTTTGGAGGAGTTGAGGACACCTCAGTTGGGAATCTTGGTGACTAGGAGGATGGTGATACTCTTTATAGTAAAAGGGAGGTTGAGAAGAGGGAAGGGTTTTTTGGGGAAAATAATAAGTTGTTTTGAACATTTTTAGTTTAGGATGTCTATGAGACATCTAGCTTGAGATGTCCAATAGACAGCTGCAGATATAAAATTGACTGTGAAGAGAAAGAGAGAGAGGTAGGGCTGACAAAGAGATCAGAGATAAGTGCTTAATAAATGCTTAGTGTTGACTGACTAGTAAAAACAAAGACACAAACTGGTTGATATATTTGCATTTACCCAAGAATCTCTGAACACTTGTAGACCTCCTCTGTGTATGGGGAGTAAGACCTTGGGACCTAGGGAGAGAGGATTGTTGATCAAGGTCAGGCAGGTGGGTAGGAGTGAGGGGTGGGGATTGAAGCTGGGACAGCATTTATGTTAGCCTAAGGTCAGTCACCCTCAGGGCATAACTCCCAAACCAACTATTCGGAGGGTACTTGCCTGCCTGAGTCCTATAAAAGACTGAGTCCTTGGGCCCAGTTCTAGTTGTAGTTCACATTTTGATTTAGAGATGAGGGGAGAGATCCCTTCCCTCTTAAGGCAATAACCAAAATCATGAAGGATGGACAACCCTAGGGACAGCTAAGCTAGTCTGTCACAGTCAAATGTTTTCTGCCAGCCTCATAGCTGAGACCTTTTTTCTGATTTGTTTGTTACCTCCTGATACCTGTCTTTATTTCCCCTCTTCTCCCCCAAGATACAGGTTCTGATAAGGTTTCCTTCATTATTTTGCTTTTGTGGCTGGGATTGGAGGTTGCTGGTACCTGCCTTGGGTGCCTTTCATTTGATGATCTCCAGGCACTTAACAATAAGGCACTGGTGCATAAAAACACTGGATTATTATTTCTGTTTCTCAAATTAGAGTTTATGGGTTGGGGAACAAGCTGTAGAGGTGGAGCAAATTGTCTTAGTGTCACAGGGTGATTCCAGGGCAGCAGCAGCTCCAAGGATGAAGGTGCCTTGGCTTTGCCTCTGCTATGGGCAAAAGGTAAGCACCTAGCAGTCCAACAGACCTCTAGCACAAACTCAGCCTAGAAGGAAGCAAGGTGAAGAGTCCCAGGGAGATATTTTTCACTCTTTAGCTCTGAAACTTGGGGAGAGAAGAAATAGGGTGACCTCAAGGAGTAAGGGTTAAAAGAAAGAGACTTCTAAGATCAACAGATACTTGAGAGCATTGGGTGGACAGAATCAGAAAGACTTGAGTTTAAATGTGATCTCAGACCTTTATTAGCTGTGTGATCCTGAGCAAGTAATCTAACCTCAGTCTGTTTCAGTTCCCTCATCTGTAAAATGGGGATAATAATAGCATCTGCCTCCCAAGGTTGTTGTGAGGATCAAATGAAATAATATTTGTAAAGCTCTTCACAAAACCTCAAAGCACTATATGAATACTAGCTACTTATTATATGTTAGCTAGTATTATTGTTGCCTGTTATATCTAAGACACTAAGTGCTGTAGGGCAGATATATTAGAAACATATACTTTCTGCCTCCTCTGAATGTACTATCTATGGGAAGAAAAAAAATGCGACATTCAATTAAGTGTGATGAAATCTAAAGACCATTGGATTTTGAGTCAGGAGAGCTGAGTTCAAGTCCAAACTCTGACAACCTTCTGTTTCCTCGTCTAAAATAGGGATAATAATACTTGTAGTAGCGACGTTGCAGCATTGCCATGAGGAATGTCCTAGTAAACAATGAATCATTATATATGAATGTTAGTTATTATTTTTAATGACAGTAAGTGGTAACAAAATGGTAAATGCATTCAAACATGTATTAAACACCTACTATGTACACTGTGTGCTAGGCACAATACTCAAATTTCTTGCAGTGCATCAGGAAAAAGATCAGGAACAATAGAAGTCAAAGAATGAGAGGAAAAGACAATGATTACTTTAGGAGTGGAGAGAATGGAGAGATCAAACTTTGATTACACAAAACTGAAACCTTTTGTATGAACAAAATCAATGCAGCTAAAAATCAGAAGAAAAGTAGTTAACTGGGAAAACATATATGCAGCAGATATCTCTGATGAAAGTCTGATTGCCAAGATAACAAGGAAGGTGATAACAGCTGAGCCAACTCCAGTCGTCCTAATCTTTATCTGCCCATTGGATCCAGATGGCTGTGGAGGATAAAGTGAGGGTAGTGACTTGTACAGCCCTCCCTCACTTAAATCCAATTCATTTGCAAGTCATGGCATCATCTTCCTGATGTCATGGTCCTCTTCCAGATCAAAAGCCAAATGGTTACATAAGGTGATAACAACCTATGAGAACAAGAGTAGATAAATTCATCTCTCGGTAGATAAATTCATATGTTTATGAACAGACTGTTTTCAAAAGAATTGCAAGTTAGAAACAATCACATGAAAGTATGTTTCAAATCGCTAATAAAAAGGCAAATACAGGGGCAGCTAGGCGGTGCAGTGGATAAAGCTCGGGCTTTGGAGTCAGGAGTACCTGCATTCACATCTGGCTCAAGACACTTGACACTTACTAGCTGTGTGACCTTAGGTAAGTCACATAACTCTGATTGCCTCACCAAAAAGCAAAAAAAAAAAAAAGGAAAATACAAATTAAAACAACTCTGAAGTTTTACCACATGCCTATAAAATTGGCAAAAATGACTAAAGACAAAATGGTACATGTTGGAGGGGCTATGGAAAAGCAGGCACACAATTCACTGTTGGTGGAGCTCTGAATTGCTCCAACTGATCTGGAAAATAATTTGAAATTATTCTAAAAGATTCACTAAAACTATACAGATCTTCCAAGTCAGCAAATACAGCTCCTAGGAATATACAGCAAGCGGTAGAAAACAGAGCAAGAGGTCCCATATGTATAAAAGTATTTATAGTAACTTTAAAAATTAATTAATTTTTTATTTTGAACTTAAAAACATCAAATAAAATGGCCATCCCATATTCATAGTAGAACATAAAAAGAGGATTACACATGAAACAGCAAATATTATGCGTAGTGGTTGTGTTTTTAATTTATAAGTCAGGTGTGGTCTCTTGGTCCCCTACCTTATGACAATTAAACATAGGGGAATCCCTGCTCCAGGGGAGACTGAGGTTGGCAGATTGTTTGAGTTTAGGAGCTCTGAGCTGCATTGAGTTAAGCTAATTGGGTATTTGTGAAGTCCAACATCAGGAAGTTGAGCCCCCAGGAACAGGGGTGGGAGGGGGCACCAGGCTGCCTCGGAGGGGCAAACTGGCCTAGCTCAGAACAATAGAGCAAGTCAAAGCTTCTGCTCTGATAAGTAGTGGGATTGGCCTAGTGAGTGGGTGCCATAAATTAGTCTGCGTGAGACTGGGAAATCTAGTCTCTCAAAAAAAAGTATATAATATATAAATTTTGTTAAATTTATTATATATACTATATGCATATGTATTCTTGTATACATACATATATGTACACACAGTACATATATACATAAATATACATACCTATAGATATGTGGGTCTATATGTGTCTATGTGTGTATTATATACACATGCATATACACATATATACATATGTATGTACATGTACACATATATACATGTGTATGTGTATACACACATACAAAATAAATTTGGTATGTAACTTTAAAAGGTCTCCTGCTGCTTGTCTTCTATCCTTTCTGGCCTTCCTTCAGTCCTGTAGAAGCACTTTTCCTTGTAGTAAAATGGGCACCTATTGATTGGGGAATGGCTAAGGCTAAATACCCTGAAGCCTTGAGGGGGAAATTACTTAAAGATTAGGTTTGGCTCACTTCCAGGGTGTCCCCAAAAGAGGAAAGTAGAAAGGTACTCAATATACAACACAAATCAGATATGTTGTTCAGTTGTTTCCGACTCTTTGTGACCCTGTGGACCACACCATTCATGGGGTTTTCTTGGCAAAGATACTGGAGTAGTTTGCCATTTCCTTCTCCAGTGGATTAAGGCAAACAGAGGTTGAATGACTTGCCCAGGGTCAAGCAGCTAAGTAAGTATCTGAGGTCACATTTGAACTCAGGTCTTCCTGACTCCAGGTCCAGAGCTCTATCCACTAAGTCACCTAGCTGCCTCCTAAATCAGCTTAACACAAGAGACTCACAAGCACACATTAACAAAGACTTAAACAAGAAAACCGTAATAACTTAAAATTACTGATACACTCCCCTGGGACGTTAAGGCTTGGAACATTAAACATGAAGCAGTTTATAGGGCTGCTGAATCAACATTTTACTTTATATTCAGCTCTGCTTGGTCTCCCTGAAGGTGCATATCTTCTGCTAAGTCAGGCCAGGGGTTGGGCTCATCTTCCTGCTGGTGGTCATCCTCTCAGATTTAGAAATGACTTAGGCTGCCACTCACCTCCAGCTGAGAGACTCGGGCTTCTTCCAGCCTCTCAAACTTGTGAGGCTGCCTACGAGGCTGGGCATTTCCATCTCAGACTGTTTAGTCATCTGTGCTCAGAGAAGAAAACATGAAAGAGAAAAGGAGGTCGGGGGCTCAAAGCCTAATGCTTGCCTACACAAGTGCCTGTTCTAGATGTCATGTCATGTGGGGTCAATCCATCATTTCTGCCCAGAATGAGCGCTGATTTCTCCCTCAGCTCCTGCAGGGAGAGGTTTGAAGAGTTCTGACATGCTCAGTTGAAAGGAAGAGCCAGAAAGTGGAATCTGTCCATTTAAGGTACACTGAGTCGGCCACTCCTTCTGGCTCAGTTGCTAATATGCTCTGATGCAGATTTCAAGTAGCCTCTCCCATGTTTAACTGTTATAAGATGAGGGATCGAGGGACCACCCAGGTTTTGCTGCATCATCTTAAAAAGGACAACCCTTCAGCATGGAGCAACATATGTCTCCTGAAGTTGTTAGATGAACTATAATCAATCCAATGAACTGTAAGATACTGGTTTAAATTTAATTTCTGCTTTCCAACTTTGCCAGCATTTTTGTTGAATAGTGAATGCTAGCCCCAGTAGTTGAAGTACTTGGGCTTATTGAACTGCTGCTATGTTTGATTGCTCCTGGGTCCTAATCTGTTACCTAACCTTTTGGGTTAAGTAATCTGTTCTCCTGATCAACTTTTTAATTAAAAAAAAAAGTATCAAATAATTTTGATGATTACTCCTTTGTGGTATAATTTAAGATCTGGTACTGCCTTTATTTCCATTTTTTTCTCGTTATTTTCTTTGAAATTCTTGGCCTTTTGTTCCTCCAGATGAATTTTGTTATAATTTTTTCTTTCTGTGATACTTCAGTAGTTTGACACAGAATTCAATCTATAAATTTATTTGCTATTGGCATTTTAAAAAATATTGACCTGGCCAAACCATGCTCAATGAATATCTCTCCAATTATTTAGATCTGTTTCTGTAAAGCATGTTTTGTAGTTATCATTATACAATTCCAGTGTGTCTTCTAGCTAGACTCCCAGATATTTTTATATTCTGCAGTTATTTAGAATGAAATTCCTTCCTTTATCTTTTCCTGTTGGGTTTTGGTGACAAGAGGGTTCCACAGGACCACACTGCCCCTTGATGGCCTTCAGGTTAAATAAGAAGGGAGGTCATCTGCTGAGGCCCAGGGGAGATTAGGGTTAAGCAAGAGTCCACAATTCTCTGGAAGTCTTTCCTTTTCACACACTTGGTCCCTATTCATTGCCACCGTCTCCTGAGATAGGATAGGCATACTCTTTGCTAGGATTGTAACTGTCCAATGCCAGGCACTTATGCTAACATCATCTTGTTTGGAATAATGGATGCATGTTTTATTTATTTTTTCCGTGCCCCTAAGATTGATGTACACAAGGCCAAGTGTCTCACTCGTCTTGCCTTTGCCTGCTCTGATTCTTTCTTCCCAGAGCTCCATTCAGACTGTTATCTCACCACCATCACTCAACCACATCTCCACTGAAGTTCTTGCCAGGCCATCAGACCATCACCTGATTCTTGGAGCTGTCATCTACTAACCTCTCCTACTTTTCCCCTAAAATCTTGGTTTTAACACTTCAGCAACTCCATTATACACAGAGGTAATCCTTCTAATGCCTCATCCTCACAGTTTCTTGAACTCTTTCAATTCATATGGTAGCTAGGTGGTGCAGCGGATAGAATGTCAAATTTGGAGTCAAGAAGACCTGAGTTCAAATCCTGCCTTAGCCACTGATTAGCTGTGTGATCCTGGGCAAGTCACTTAACCTCTGTTTGCTTCAGTTTCCTCATCTGTAAAATGGGGATAATAATAGCACCCATCTCCCAGAGATATTATAAGAACCAGGTGAGATAAGATATATAAAGCCCTTTGCAAATCTCATTGTGCTCTATGAATGTGAGCTTGTTAATTACATGACTTCCACAAACACCCATATCTCATTTACCTAGTGCAATAAACGTCATCATTACCAGAAACAACTCAGTCTTCAAGATCTTGACCTCTCAAATCATAGGATCATAGGTTTAGAGCTGGAAGGGAATTTAGAGGCCATCAAGTACAACCCTGTCATTTACACATGAGGAAACTGAGGCACAGAGACATTACGTCACTTGCTTAGCATCTCATGGGTAGCATCTGAGGCAGGTTTTGAGCTTGGTTCTTCTTGACTCCAGGGCTAGGGCTCTATCCATACGGCCACCAAGCTGCCCATCTCAGCTGTTTAGCTTCTGTCCTTCCATTTTTCCTATACTCCCCTGCTATTGCCATACTTGTTCTTCAGATTCATTAGGACCTTTGCCCCCCTCTCTTCTCTGTTCCCCCAGTCTTTCAATTCTGTTCTAGCTTCAGTCTCCTCTTTGCCTGGATCTCTATGGGCAGGCCCTTCAATAATGTCTTTCTCTTCCACCCTTAAAATTCTTCACTCCTTTGACCTTCTGCTATTTCCAAACAGCTAATCTTCAGTCCTGGGTAACTGCTGCTGTAGAGCTGCCCCGTGATGTTGGAGGAAATAACAAAATCATGTTGACAGGGTCTTCTACAAATTTATGCTCCCTAACCTCAACAGTACCCTTCACTGCTGCAGAGCAATTTCCCCACGGTTACTGATGCTCTGGCACACCCTCCAGTGTCATTGTTCCTAACATTCTGCTCTCGCAGTCCCCTAACTGCACCCTCCTCCCCTCACTCTCAGCAAATGACCTTGCCTCCTTCTTTCCTGAGAAGATTGAGGCCATCTGACCTGAATGCCTTCAGCTCTCCTCCACATCTCTGACCCTTCCAACGCCCTCATCCTCTCCTCCCACATCAGAGGAAAATGCGGCCCCCTCCTCCTTGTTAGAGTTAACCCCTCCGATGGCACTCTTGATCTTGTTCTCTCCCATGTCCACTTTGGCTTCATGAAATCAATCATTCCCTTTTCCTCTCGTGCCTCTTTAATCTTCTCCTCTCCTTATAGACTCCTCAGCCTATAAACAGGCTGAAATCTTCCCTCTCCTTAAACAAAAAAACCAAAGCCGCCTTCCCTTAACCCCGTATTCCCTCAAATTATTTCTCTTTGGTGCCGCTCTTAGAAAACACAATCTACACTCACTGGCTTCATTTTCTCACCACCCACTCAATCCTCGACCCCTTGTAATCAAGTTTCCACTTCCACCCCTCTAGAGAAACGGCTCTATTTAAGATCACTAGTGACCTAACCAAGCGAAATGATCTTTTTTCCTGGCCATCTCTTCCTTGCCTTCTCTGTGGTATTGGGCTCCATGGATCACCCTTTCCCCCTTTCTTCTTGAAAGTGTCTCAATGCCCTTGGGCTTTGTGACACTGGACTCTTAGGGCTCTCCTACCCCTCTGTCTACTTTGCTGGGTCATCATTTCTTCCTTCATCCTGAACATGGGTATTTCCCAAGATTTTCTTCTGGGTGCTCTTTCTCTTCTCTTACTATGTTTGTTCCCTTGGTGATATCATCTTTTTCTACAGTTTCAGTCATCACCTCAGTGCAAATGATTCCCAAATCTGGATCATCACCCCCCCAGTTCTTATCCACAATTTCAACTATATTTCTTTCTTTTTTTCTTTTTTTGACTAGGCAATGGGGTTAAGTGACTTGCCCAGGGTCACACAGCTAGTAAGGCCAGATTTGAACTCAGGTCCTCCTGACTTCAGGGCCAGTGCTCTATCCACTGTACCACCTAGCTGCCCCTCAACTATATTTCTAATGACCTCTTTGGAGGGAGCATATTAGAGTAGATGGAGAACTGATTTTTTATTCAGAGAACCTGTTTTAATCACAATTCTGCCATTTTGCTGTGTGTGTGACCTTAGGTAAGTCTCTCTCTCTGAGCCTCAGTTGCTTTATCTGTAAAATGAGGAGATTGATTAGATCATTGCTAAGGTCCTCTCCAGCTCTAAATCTTTTAGTTTTTAATCTCTACCTAGATATCTGGCTGGAATCTCAAACTTAACATTTCTACACCTGAACTTGTTATCCTTTCTCCTAAACTTCCACTTCACCTACCTTCTCTGTTTCTGTCAATGGCGCTACTCCCAGTCCCCAAGGCTTGTAACTGTGGAATCCTCTTTGACTTGATAACTCACAAGATAGCCATGAAGCATGGATGCATCCATCTCTCAGGATCACTGCTTACTGATCTTAGACCTGTGCTCAGGGAAGAAATACAAAGGAAGAAGAAGTAGGTAGCCTGGGACTCAGGCTCCCCTTGGCAAGCACATGCTCTTGTTGTCATTGTTGTTCAGTCATGTCGGTTATGTCCCTCTCTCTGTGACCCCATTTGGGGTTTTCTTGGCAAAGATACTGGAGTGGTTTGCCATTTCCTTCTCCAGCTCATTTTACAGATGAGGAAACTGAGGTAAACAGGGTTAGGGGACTTGCCCAGGGTCAAACAGCTAGTGTCTGAAGCCAGATTTGAACTCAGGAAGACGAGTCTTCCTGATTCCAGGCTTGGCACTACATCTACTACACCGCCTAACTGCCCCTTGCTATCCTTCCTGAAGGCTATTTTGCTGTTGTTAGATTGGAGATCGGGAGAAAAATCTCCCTCTTTCCCTGGAAGTCCAAGGGAAAGCTGAGTTCCAAACGGACTATGTCAGAAAATGGGTAGGGCCTTTCTCCTCAATCCTTTTATAGTTTATTGGGTGGTCAGATCTTTCTGGATCTGTGGCCAATCATTTTCTATGGATAAAGAACCAAGTACCCAACCAGAAGTTGATGGGTCACGTCACAACATGTACTTTAAGAAGGGGCCAGAGTACATGTCCAGCTCTATGAAAAATTTTCCATTCTGCCCTCAACCACAGAGGTATAGTAAACCCAAATATGAGAGCATTTAAATGTGATCTTCTAGCCAGAGTAGGTAGATTCTAGGCAGCATGATCCTGGAATCTAGTCTTCTATGGAGAGAAGGGAGATTTCCCAGGTAGCAAGAGCCTTGGCATTGCCTCAAGAATCCCTTCTATCTCTTCTGGGCCCCAAATTCAAGATTTAGGGGATCAGACCTTCTAGAGAGAGAGGTAAAAGAGAGTTTCATTAGCAATCACCACCCAACCCCCATATTACGGTGAGTGTATTTCATTACTTCAGGTCTAATGGGAAGGGAGCTGCTTGTTAAACAGCCCCACGGTGTGTTTGTATTCTAAGAAAGAGCACGAATTTCAATACAACCTCCTCCACTGTAGCAAAAGTT